CCCCAAAACCCCAAAACCCCAAAACCCCAAAACCCCTAGAGGGTTATTATGGTTGAATAACTGATACATTATGTGTTTCAGCCCTATTTTCTGGCATCCATGGTCTTAATATTAGAGAATATCTTGTTTTGTCTGATTATAGATCCATTCACAGCAACTATATACAAGAAATGTTAAGCTTTACATGCTTTTTAGAGCAGTTGGAAAGTTTTAGATTTCAAAAAATTACTTACGTTTAATAGTTTTATTTTGAGTCTGGTTCGTTCTTTTATTTGGATTGTTGTTTAACAGGTTCTTCAACTTTGTCTGGCTCAATTGTTTGGTCTTCCTGATCTTTAAAGAATTGTTGATCCCCGGCTGGCCTCTTCTTTCATTAGAAAAACACCTTTTATTATCCTTGTCACGTTTAAGGTAGCTGGAGATCTTTATACCTTTAAATCTATCTTGAGAGTGGCTTTCTATCGGCTTCTTCTGCAAGGGTTTGTCATCATATTCAGAGACAGTAATGTTCTGATGTGAGTTCATGTTTCGGACAGAAGACCTAGAAATACAATCATTAATCTTCTTATTCCTGCTGCCATTAATTGAAGAAGTAGTAGATCTATTAACTATAGTTATAGATTCAGATCTCTTCTTTCTCCTACTGACGGAATCTCTAAAATCTTTGGTTATTTCCTTCCATTGGGTAGAGCTGGCAGTGAGCCTCTTCACCAATTGCTTTTGAGTGGACCTTCATCTCTTACGAAAATCTCTGTCCTTCGGACTAATGTGCCTTTTTATTTTAACAATTTTATTATTAGATCTTAACGATGAGAAAAAAGCAACATTCGGATGCTTCTGGCCAGGGATATAGGCAGATTCAAGCCCACCTGAGTTGAAAGTGACATAAAAGTCTCTTCCAGACCCGTCAGAAACGTACTTGAAGCTAGTAGCCTGTCTTTGAGGAGCTATAGCCATTTTGTTCGGAGGGTCACAAGGGTATCTGCTGCTTGTGAAAAAGGGCCTCTTTCCTTCTGAGCATAGCCCTCCGTTATTCAGGATGATGTACTTGTCTCGTCCTTGGCCATCGGGGACGTAATGGGTGTATTTTGTCTTGAACGTGTTATAAAGACTATTAATGTTTCCAGGCTCGGTCATTTCTTAATTTAAAAATAATCTATTTGAAATATAAATCGAGGGGTTTTGGGGTTTTGGGGTTTTGGGGTTTTGGGGTTTTGGGGTTTTGGGG